CCCTCACTGGGCCCCTGGCCCGCAGTCCTCCCCCAGCACCTTCCACGGTGCTCACACACATGCCCTGGCTTTCTCCTGCTCCCTGGCCATGCCTTCCTGGCCCACCAGCCTGGGACCCCTTTTCCTCCTTGACTCACCCACCTCCCTGGCGTCTGAAGCACAGCTTTGAAAACACCCCTCCGTCCGGCTTCACCCGCCCAGGCCGCTTTCCCAGCTCCTTTCCCTTGTGGGTGAGCCCCACACTGCCTCCTCCTGGTCGGTGACGGAGCTTACCGGCGCTGCCTGAGAGCCGGCCATCCTCTGGAACTCTCTGCCTGGGGATGTCTGAGCCAAGAACCTCAGGGTCACCTGCTCCCCTACTGCTCCCGCCACCCAGGCGGCTCCGCTCGCATGTCACACCCAGTGGCCACTGCACCCTCGGGGCCCGCCCCCTGCACCACCCGATCTCAAATCCCAAACACCCCCAACTCTTGGCTCCCTTGGTCTGGACCCCACACTTTCTCTCTCCAGACACCAAGACTTCGCAGGTGACACAATCTAGTACATTTCTCTCTGGAGTCGTCCGTCTCCTCAACTTGACCGTGAGCTCCCACAGGGCAGCCTTCTGTCTCCTGGTTTCTTGCTGTCATTGGTGCTCAGTGAACATTAATGGAAAGGCAGGGAGGCCCCCGAAGGGCACAAAGCTACATCCCCTACAAGGTCAGAGCCTGCCAAGTCCCCTGGCTGCCTGGGTGGCTCTGCTTCTGCCCGACCCCCAAGCCCCTCAGAGCTGGTTCAGGCCGAGCCGGAGGAGCAGGGGAGCGCAGTGCGCCCACCTCCTCCAGCGGCGGCTCCCGGCCTTCGTTGTTGTTGCTGAGCACTGTCTTCCGTGGCCGGGAGGCACAGCTGGGCTAGTCCCTGCGCCCGGTTTTAAACGGCATTCCTCTTCCAACTCCCCTCAGTGAGCGACGCGCTCACAGGAGCACACAGGGGGCAGTACTGAGCCCTGACCACACAGCTCCGCCATCCTGCCCTCCGAAGGTGGCAGGCCCCGGCCCCGGAGTCCTACAGCGGCGTGCAGGCGCAGGGCCTGGCCCAGCGGTGCCTCCCCGGCCCCGGAGACAGTGCTCCACAACACTGAGAACTCCCGGGGACGAGAGAGTGGAGGCCGCTGCAGCCCTGACTCCGGGCGGCCGAGTCCTGACAAAACCCAGCGGCACGTCCAGCCCCCCCACCACCAGACAAGCGCCCTGTGCTCTGAGGGGAAAGCCAGGCGCACTCCCGGCTAGAAAACACTCACTGGAACTCCAGGCACCTGCTTCTTTGCGGCCTTACCATGTTCATGCTTTTCCTGTTGGTGCGGATTGAGGTTCCGTGACCCCCCTCTACGGCAGGGAAGGAGGGAGCAGGCTCCCGGCAGTGGAGCCCGCAGCTCCGGCCTCTCGCTCCGGCTGCGGGCGGCACCCGCTGCAGGACTCCGGGGCCTGGCCTGCCACCTTCGGAGGGCAGGATGGCGGAGCTGTGTGGTCAGGGCTCCCGGAGCCACTCGCAGGGCCGATGACGCTGCCCCTGCGTGCTCCTGTGGGCGCGTCACCTCTCACCGAGGGGAGTCGGAAGAGGAATGCCTACAAATCCAAAGCCGTTTAAAACAAGTTTAAATTCAGCTACAGAAATTTAGAATTTTAAAACAGGATATTATATTACCCTTCTAACAAAAGTAATTCCATTTATAAGAAACAAAACAAACAGAAGTGCATATAAGGGAAAAGGTATAGGTTTCTCCCCTCCCCCCGCCCACTCCCTGCCCCTCTCCCAACACACTGGCACACACCCCACACCCGTCCCTCCCCCCGTTTCTAACGGGCACCTCTGCTCCGAGCTGTGTCCCTAGGGCTGGAGCAGTGCCCGCCCCACAGTCTGCAGCGGGCACTCCACAGTTCTCTATTCCATTAGTGTGTCACCTTCCAGGCCAGCTTCTGTGCGAAGGACCCACACAAGGACCTGGGGTCCCTTCGCGCCGGTGAGAGGAGGGCGTCTGCGCGTGGTTTGGGAAAACCTCTGGGCTCTCCCGTGGAGTGAAGGCCCTACAGCCTGCTTCTGGGCGGAAAGTGGGTCCTTAGGTTATTAGTAACGTTTCATTACGGAGAATTTGAGAAACATATGGAAGTGGACAGAACGGCATAACCAGTCCTCAGCACCCTCACCAGACCCAACAGCGTCCTCACGTGGATGGATCCCAAACAAAACATCATTTCCTCTGCAAACACTCCGGTACCCACAGCTGAAAGGTAAAGATCTTTCACAACCACAGTGCTGTCATTGAGGAATGTGAGTGTCCTTTAAAATCATCGTTTGCCCAGCAGGTGCCCACTGTCTCTTCACTACCATAATCTTTGAAAGGAGTGATTCTGGGGCCAATCGCTCAGTCAGAGCGGCGGGGCCAGCGTGCTGTGAGGAAGTGATCAGAGAGGCTCGGCCTCTGCTTTCATGGCAGCACCTGAGATTTTAAGCCAAATAATGGAGCCCGTCCCACCAGAGGGAGACTCACCCCGGCACCTGGCCGCTGGGGGAGCCGGCAGGCCTGCAGGAGGAGGGCCAGGCCTGGAAGGGACCAGTTGGAGGAATGGTCCCACGGAGGCCTGGGCGCAGCCCCAGCAGGCAGGCTGGGAACGACTGAGTCTGCCACCCTGCGTGCAGGGCAACCACCCGCCTGCCTGCTCTCGCCCGGACTCGCTCCAGACAGCCAGGAGACGGGAGAGGACCTTCCCCCACGCCTGTCACTTCTGGGCCTGTCCCTCTCCCCGATCCTCCCTCCGGATGGTGGATGGTCAGGGAGGACCAGCCGTCCCAGCTGAGGATTTCAAGGACCAAAGCTTTCTCTCAGGGACAGCCCTCCACAGCCACGGCGATGGATTCATTTGCACATCCTGACACAGCGCCACCACCCTGCTCGCCTGGGCAGGGAGCAGCCACCATGCTGCTCCCAGAAACACCGGGGGCAGAGCACGGAGCCCTGCCTGCACCTCACCTTCCTGGGACGCCTTCTCACCAAGCATCCTGAGCAGGACGGAGAGTCGCTGTGAATCATGAACAGCAGGAGGCTAACTCCCTTGTGCAGCCGCAGGGCCGAGTCCCGGGACACCGGGACGCCCCATACAGGTCCATGAGCTCCGGGCCAGGAGGCTCAGGCCAGGAGGCGGCTCTGCAGGCCTCTCCCGCCACCTCCCAGCCTGCCCACCCCTCCCCTGTCACCCACCCCTCCCCTACTGCCCACCCCTCCCCTATCACCGAATGGGACACAGAGGGAGGGTGGGGGCCTGGCCTGTCACACCCTGGGTGTAGGGGGTGGACTCCCTCCGGAGGCAGGGACAGCCAGTGATCTGTGCGATGCATTATTGATTGCGCTGTGTGCGCCCTGCCCTCCACCCCTCCCCTCGGAGCTGGCCATTAGTGTGCACCCCCAGCACCAGCCTGGGTCCCTGCCCGGTGTGGAGATGGCACCTGAGCAGAACTAGCCTCAGTCTGCCCACACAGTGGGGGCTGCTCTCTTCCCCAGGCACACTGTGTGCTGGCCTTGCACCCACACCTCAGCCCAGGGCTCCGGCCAGGCCACCAGACCCCGTCCCCCGAGGAGAGATCTCTGCAAGGTTCCATCTTCCCACAGGCCAGGAGGCTGGGCAGGGGCACTCATTTTGGAGGGCACAGGACGGTGGCAGAGCCCATCACAGGGATCGGTCCCCTCCCACAACAGCTCCGCTCGGTGCTGCCACACCCTGCCAGGGAGGGCCCCGGGGGAGGGGCCCGCAGAGCGGCCTCCGTTCAGCCGGCGGTCTTATTTCTTGATTTGATTCACCTGCTGGGTGTGCTACAGGCACGTCAGCCGAGGCACGTGGCCCCAGGGGGCAGTTCTTGCCCCAGAAATGCCCGTGAGCCCCTCCCTCCTGCCCTTGCTGCCGGCAGCACAGGGAGCGGTCCTCAGAGCAGGCCGCGCACAGACCCCAGCAGTCCCAGTGACAATCGGGCATTGTCTCCTCCGGCGCTGGCCCCATGCTGCCCTGCAGACCTGTTTCTGGGACACAGACACCGTCGCCCACAGCAGCCGCCAGCCCGCAGCCTGCCGGGCCGGGCAGACAGGAGTGCCCCATGTCACCTCGCCCCGGGGGACTCCCGCTCAGCGGCACCCGGTGGGTGCGCAGGCTCAGCAGGAGGCTGCTGGCCCTGGTGCGATCTGCCCGCAGGGCCCACGGGTGCTGGGTGCCCAGGAGGTTACACCCCGGGAGCAGAGCCCTTCCGGGCGGCACCCCCTCCAGGCAGCAGGCCCGCCTGCGCCGGCAACCGCAGGCCTGGTGGGTGAGCCACCTGCTGGGGCTCCCAGCACCCACCACAACACTGCACCCAGCACCCACCCCACACTGCACCCAGCACCCACCCCGCACTGCACCCAGCACCCACCCCGCACTGCACCCAGCACCCACCACACACTGCACCCAGCACCCACCACACACTGCACCCAGCACCCACCCCGCACTGCACCCAGCACCCACCCCGCACTGCACCCAGCACCCACCCCGCACTGCATCCAGCACCCACCCCGCACTGCACCCAGCACCCACCCCGCACTGCATCCAGCACCCACCCCGCACTGCACCCAGCGAGGCACGGGGCGGGCCGCTCTGCTCCACGTCTGCACCCCCCAACACACTCAGCCGGGGGTGCTCACCGGGCGGCAACAGGTGCGGCCTCAAGGCTGGGGTCCGGGCGGCTGTGGAACCGCCCGACCCGAACCCAAACCCACCGGGCCGGAGCCCCGAACCGCTCAGCCCGAACCCCAGGCCGGAGCCCGGGAGGCGCCCCGGGCCGGCCCGCCGCGGGGCCGAGCGGCCGGGCAGCGGCCTCCGGAGCCCGGAGCGCGGAGCCCGGAGCGCGGCCCGGTCCGCCCGCCGCCACCTGCGCCCCCGCCCGGAGGGACCGGGACCGGGACCGGGGCCGCCGCCCGCCCCGCCGCCCCGCCGCCCCCTTACCTGGCACCTGCCGGCCGGGAGCGCAGGAATGGCGGCCGCGGAGGCGGAGGCGCCGGTGCCGGGCGCGGGCGGCGGGAGAGGAGGGGCGGGGAGAGCCAGAGAGCGCGCAGGCTCCGCCCCGCCCCGCCTTCCTGCCGCCGCCCCTTCCTCCCATCCGCGGCTCCCCCCTCCTCCTCCCTCCCCTCCCCTCCTCCCTGCACCTTCCTCCCCTCCTCCTCCCACCCCTCCCTCCCTTCCTCCCTGCACCTCCCTCCCCTCCCCTCCTCCCTCCCCTCCCTCCCTCCCTGCACCTCCCTCCCCTCCCCTCCTCCCACCCCTCCCCTCCCTCTCTGCACCTTCCTCCCCTCCTCCCACCCCTCCCCTCCCTTCACCTTAACTTCCCCCCAAACCCCTCTCCTCGCCCCCCCCCCCCCAGGCCTCTGCTGGTCCAGCACTAACTCTCATGAAGTGCCTACTTGCCTCCCTGCCCCTGCTGATGGAAGCTTGCCCCTCCTGGAACCGGGAACCCATCTGTACCCACCCTCTCCAGCCCCGCCCCCCAGTCCCCGAGGTGGGACACCCCCGGCCTGGGAGGCTCTGCGGGAACCTCCAGCACAGCATGAGCAGAGCGCGGGGCAGCCAGGACACTGCGTTTGCTTCCAATCAGATGTGACTGGGTGAGAGCATTTCACACACACACACCCCGCACTTTCTCTGGTGAGCACAGCAGGCCCTTCTCCTGTTAGGTTTCCCGAGGCCCCTGCGCCCTCTGCCAGCTGTTCACACGCTCACCACCTTTTACACGTGTGTGCGAACCCCTGGGTGTGGGAGGCCGCGACGCTGGGCCACGCTGCCTGTGGCAGCCTGAGGGACACGCCTGAGTCAGGGTCAGGGGTCGTGCTATCGGCCCGCCACTTTCCTGAAGGCCACGGGTCAGTGATGGCCCGGAGCCTCGTTCTCTCCGGGGGCCTCCTGCCTGTCGGTGCTGCCCCCCCACCCCCTGCCGCAGAGCCAGGGCTTAGGGCTGTAGGGCCAGGGAACCACAGGCCAGAAAAGCCCCGAAGGTTAAGCTAGTGCACAGGCGCAGACAGGCATGGAAACACCTCCTCCCTCTGGCGGGTCCTCCTGGGAGCTGACTGCCCCTGGCCTTGGCTCTGCTGCTTCCAGGTGAGCCCGGGACCCACCCCCTCAGCTCCGGGAAGGGGGTGTCGCCTCCAGGTCAGCCACATGCCCGAGTCCACGGCGCCCGCCGAGCGGGAAGTGGTGCTGTTCTCCCCAAGCGTCCGTCCAGCTGGAGGAGCCCGTGGGCCTGTCCCCCCAGTGGGTTAAATGCCGCGGCAAGGATGGGGCAGAGCTGTTTGAATGCACCCGTTCCCCAGCGAGGGGCCCGCTGTCAGAGGGGCGAAGGCTGGGCGGGCGGCACCCTCCCGTGTGGAACGCGGTCCGTGCTCGGTGTGTGAGGACCGCCACCGCAGGCCGTGGCGGGTCATTGGCCCCTGCAGCCTTCCCCGGAAACGGCGTTTGCAGGTCCGTCTGGGAGAAGGATCGCCTGAGAGGCAGGAGGCAGACGGAGGCCGGCTGGCTGGGAGTCAGATGAGAGCTCCGCCCACTGGGAGCCCTTCTGGCACGTCTGTCTGCGTCCTCAGAGAAGTGTGTCCTTCAGGGCCAGCGTCTGGGCAGGCCTGGCTGCCCCGCGGGGGCTGGCGGCTGGGCCCTCCGGCTCGGAGACCGGGCCTGCTTTCTCAGAACCCGCCGCGGCAGCCCCGGCCCGCCCCGCTCAGAGCAGGCGGCCTGGCGAGGAGGGGCTGGCCGTGCCCTCCTGCCGTGTCCTCCTGCAGGGGCCGGGAGGGCTCCGGGAGGCCCTGCGCCCCCCCGCCGGGCACAGGGGCCCGTGCCTTCTCACTGTCACGTTCTCCCCTCCACTGCGGGGCATTCAAACTCGTGCCTGGACTCCGCTCCCCACGCACTCACGGGCGGCGGTCTGGTGTCCCCTCCGCTCCCCCAGGGAGAGTTTGAAACACCAAGGACCGGGAGGAACCCGTTAGTCTCCAGCTTCCCTGGGCCGCTGGGGCCGCTCCCATTCCTGTGACGGGAACACGCGTGGCGGCGGGGCCTGCACGGGCGGCGCAGCTTCCACCATCGCCCCGGTGGACTGGGGTGGGGGCGGGGAGCACCCTGGTTCTGGCCTCCGCTCCTCCGTGTGCAGAGAGCGTGTGGTGTGCGTGGCCGTTCCGGGTTGTCCACAGCGGGCATCTGAGCAAAGGGAGGACAGGGCTTACTTAGCAGGCTGCACGGCGACGGGAAGCAGCCCCGGGAGAAACGGGCTCCGGGGTGAGGCAGGGCCTGGGGGCCCGTGTGCTCCCAGATCTGGGGAATGTCTTTCAAAGGTGACCACAAAGTGCTCTGAACACGTGGGACCAGGCCCGCTGCGAGTGCTGCTGTGGCTGCATCCCCCTTCCCATCGCAGAAAAGGCCTGCCTCCAGCAACGCCCAACCCCTCCCTCACCCTCACCCTCACCTCCCCAGAAAAGGCCCTCCTCCCGCAGCCCTCAGCCCCTCCCTCACCCTCACCCTCACCTCCCCAGAAAAGGCCCACCTCCGGCAACGCTCAGCCCCTCCCTCACCCTCACCCCCGCCCCCCAGAAAAGGCCCTCCTCCGGAAACCCCCAGCCCCTCCCTCACCCTCCCTCACCCCCCCAGAAAAGGCCCGCCTCCAGCAACCCCCAACCCCTCCCTCACCCTCACCCCCCCAGAAAAGGCCCTCCTCCCGCAGCCCCCAGCCCCTCCCTCACCCCCCCCCCCGAAAAGGCCCGCCTCCCGCAGCCCCCAGCCCCCCTCCCCCCCCCACAAAAGGCCCGCCTCCCGCAGCCCCCAGCCCCCCTCCCCCCCCACAAAAGGCCTGCCTCCCGCAGCCCTCTCCCCCAGGCCGGGCAGAGCAGTCTCTCCAGCTGGAGGGAGGCGCCGGGGCTCTCTGCTTGCGAGCCCGCTCTGGCAGGCAGGCGCAGTGGGAGCTGGCCTGTTGTCCGGCTCCTGCTGGTATTCCCGCTGGGGCCTGTCTCCGCACACTCTCCTAGGCGTCCCTGTGGCAGAGCGCACAGCGCACTCACCGAGCCCCTCGCTTACTGGGGAGCCGGCTGCAGGCAGAGGCTGCAGAGGGCTGAGCAGCGCCCCGGCTGGAGCCGAGCTGGAGCTATGGGGGAGGCAGAGCGGATGCTGGCATGCTGCCCAGCTGCCTGTTAGCTTAAGCGGAGCGGGCATCCCCAGAGGCCACCCGTGCCGCCTGCTCCAGAGCTGCCGCACTTCCCGTGCCCCTGCCTTTGCCAAGGCCTCAGGCCTTGCAGACCCTGCTCATCCCTGGCCTCACTTCTCCAGCCCAGCCCAGCCCAGCCCAGCCCAGCGGCCCGCCCTCCCGCTGTGGGGCCTCACAGGGCCCCTGCTCTCCTCTCTCCCGCTACCTCTGGTCGGCATGGCCTTCATTGTGAGCTTCTAGGCCCGGTGAAGTCTACTGACCTCTTTTCAGAGTCATGCTTTTACATGCATAATATAAGATACAGAATTAGGAAGGAAACCGATTATGCTGAAATCCCATTATCAAAATATCTTAAACTGTCACATGTTTGCTTTATTTACATATTGAACAACATGCGCTAGCAGGTCTGGTGGCTAGTAAATCTGAAGTCAGGACAAGCTGTCTGGTGTCTGAAGACAAGCTGTGAAAACATCTGTGACTTCTGCTGGGGCAGGGGCATGTCCGGCTCACATGACCGGCTCATCCTGTCACCTGCATCGGTGCTGGAAGGAAAAGCTTAATGGTAGTTAGAGGTCACTCGGGGGACATGTAATTCTCCCATCCACCTGGGTGGAGTGTCCAAATGCATCCTGGGTAAGAATCAGATTTGGAAGGGAAGGGACTTTGGGTGCCAGCACCCAGCACTCGGCTGTATGCAGTGGCCCAACAAGCTTATTGCTCTAATGAAGGAGACAGAACTCAGGCGTCTGTGACAGAGTTCGCTCCCACCTTGGCTCCTCCCACCTGGAGGTGCAGGCACAGTTGGATCAGGGCACTGAATTGCTGTTGTTAGGTCTTCCTCTTGCTGATTTCTCTGCTCCTTCCTCGCTGATTGGCTTAGTTCTGCATGGCTAGGATTTCACTCACTTGTCCCTCAAGGCTGGGCAGTCTGAATCCAAAACCATGACAGGGGCCCCTCCCCGCACTGCGGGCCCTGTGGAAGGCCCCTCCCCGCACTGCGGGTCCTGTGGAAGGCCCCTCCCCGCACTGCGGGTCCTGTGGAAGGCCCCTCCCCGCACTGCGGGTCCTGTGGAAGGCCCCTCCCCGCACTGCGGGTCCTGTGGAAGGCCCCTCCCCGCACTGCGGGTCCTGTGGAAGGCCCCTCCCCCCCGCACTGCGGGCCCTGTGGAAGGCCCCTCCTCCCCGCACTGCGGGTCCTGTGGAAGGCCCCTCCTCCCCGCACTGCGGGTCCTGTGGAAGGCCCCTCCCCCCCACTGCGGGCCCTGTGGAAGGCCCCTCCTCCCCGCACTGCGGGCCCTGTGGAAGGCCCCTCCTCCCCGCACTGCGGGCCCTGTGGAAGGCCCCTCCTCCCCGCACTGCGGGCCCTGTGGAAGGCCCCTCCCCCCCCCACTGCGGGCCCTGTGGAAGGCCCCTCCCCGCACTGCGGGCCCTGTGGAAGGCCCCTCCTCCCCGCACTGCGGGCCCTGTGGAAGACCCCTCCTCCCCGCACTGCGGGCCCTGTGGAAGGCCCCTCCTCCCCGCACTGCGGGCCCTGTGGAAGGCTCCTCCTCCCCGCACTGCGGGTCCTGTGGAAGGCCCCTCCCCCCCGCACTGCGGGCCCTGTGGAAGGCCCCTCCTCCCCGCACTGCGGGTCCTGTGGAAGGCCCCTCCTCCCCGCACTGCGGGCCCTGTGGAAGGCTCCTCCTCCCCGCACTGCGGGCCCTGTGGAAGGCCCCTCCCCCCCCACTGCGGGCCCTGTGGAAGGCCCCCCCTCCCCGCACTGCGGGCCCTGTGGAAGGCCCCTCCCCCCCCCCTGCGGGCCCTGTGGAAGGCCCCTCCCCCCCGCACTG